ATCTGTATTAGCTTAATGAAACAGTATTGAAATGTCAAGAAAATCCCTTCTTTAGTCCTTGCTTTTTAGCTTCTCTGCTCCTCCTCTGATAATAACAGCCACATATCAGGATTCCATGTTGAGCTCAGTTGCTACTGCCCCCCTGTTCAGTAAGTACGCCTGTGGGAGGGGGCATACTGGCCAGAAGGCTTCCATGGAGTTCCCATGTTCTATTTCCTCTGTCTTTTTAGGTCTTGCTAGGACGTAGGCCACCCTGCCACCAAGTGTGGAACAGGTAGCTGGCAACACAGCATTCTTTGTTCTTCTGGTGCAGGCAACCACCTACATCCCAGCCACCAAGGCTGCTGGGCTGCACAGGGGTCACATGCATTCTAGCAACCAAACAATCCCCCTGCCCCTGCAATACTTGTTGATGGTGCCTGTCTCAGCAAAGTGCCTGGTTCACGAGACAAGCATGGTCAATCATAGTTTATCATTTTTTCCTTCTTAGGTGCACGGTCAGAAAGCAAGCAGTGGGCCATGCTATCTCAGCAATGAGACAAGGTTGCCTGGTGAACTGTGCCGACAAGTGTGGTGAGACTTTCTTTAAAATCAAGCTCCAGAGAAAAAGTTTTTGGAAAGTTTTGGATCACGTGGCTTATTTTTTTTTTTTTTATGGCTGTACCCCGCGTTACCCCCTTGACCTTCTGGGTGGTTGACAAGACATGAAAAGAGCAGCAATCTCCTTCACAAGAGTTCAAGCACTTTATCTAAGACATACAAAAATAAATTTTTAGCTAGAGCAACACTTTAGGCTGAAGGAAGATCAGTGCAGACTGACCGATCCTCCCCTTAGCAGAGATCACTTGACCAAACCGAGTTATTTGGGGACATGACAAACAGCGGTGGGATCCCAGAGTGGTGGTTTGTGCAGTGAAGGAAATAGAGAGGAAGAAAGAATTTTAGGATAGTTCTTCTATCAAGCAGCCCATAGGTATGAGATGACAGACGGAACAAGCTGGCCATCTCAGACTATGATCTCATGTCTTTGGGGGCTGGGAGATGCCTACAGGCCAAGAACTCTTGTGGAAGGAACGTGAATGCTTGGAAAACCTGTACTGATGGCTACTGACTCCCCCTCCCCCCAGCGACCCAGATAAGCAGGCCAGAAAAGTCATCCTACATTGCTCTATTGTTCCCCCTGCTTCTGTACATTAATGGAAACTTATGTCACTGAGTTACTGAATCACTTGTAGGATTAGTTGCCCTGAAGGCAGTCAGACAGTGTACATGTCTGATCACTCTCTGTAAGGTAGCAGTATGCTGGTAGTTATAGTCCCCCTTGTGAAGGACCTTCAAAGTCAATGTGCATGCCTCTTTTAGTGTCTTGGAACAGAACCAAGGCGCCAGCTGCACCCATCAGTAAAAGGTTATCAAATATTAAAGAACAAAGGACTTTGTTATCTGGTTCACACCCAACAAAGTGATCCTAGTATACATAAAGGACACATTCGTTTACTCTCATTGTTTGGGTTGTACTGTTTCCATGAAGTCTGGATGCTATTTTTATCAGTCTCTGCTCTGAATTAAAAAGAGTGAAAACAAAATGCAAGGAGAAGGCCATCAAGATTAATGAGGTTTCAGAAAAGAAGTATAAGTGTGCACCATAGACAAGATGGCTTGGGGTGGGGGAGGGGTACAACCGCTAGTTCTTACACCATTCGTTCTAGGACCATGACCCACTGCAATCTTTATACATCACCGACAGCAACACCGGTCCGGTTCCATCATCCATTCTTCGGTTGCGGGACATACGAGTGAACAAATTTAGAATCCTATCTGGGCACCAAAAATGTTTTCATTGCTTTAAAAGAGAGAGACTGAAGGCAATTGATTCACATTTTCTCCTAAAATTCCCCCCCAAAATAAATAAAAATGTTATATTTTTATTGTACAATATCACAAAGAAAGGCAAAACTGTCACCAAAAAGTGCAACCTTTGCATTAAAGTGTATCTATGGGCAAAGATCAACATTCAATGTGTGTTACAGGATTAAATGTAAATCTTAGATATTTATTGACCCCCCCCAAAAAAAAATACCTTCTGATAATGCCAGAGAATCGAATACAAAAATCACTTCATTTAGATCAGTGGAAGTGCCGCAACACGCCTTCTGAACGTCATCCAGCACTGCCACCCTTTCAAAAGTGCACATAGAGAATGAACGAGCCCAATAGAAGAGCGTTAATCCACTCTGAGGAAGCAGCAATAGAACTAATCATGGCTGCCGCTACAGGTCATATAACTAGAGCCAGTTTCTACAGTAAGGAAAATTATTATTACTAAAGCTAACACAGCATTTTGTTAGGCTGACACATGCTCGCTGTTTATGCTGAAATTAAGGCTAGCCGCGCACTGTTCTATTAGATTCCCTTATCCACACTAAATGTGCATAGAGGAATCCCTGCTGCAACCATTGTATTAAGCCGCCGCTGCCACTGTGACTGCTGAATACCCCAACATTGGCTGCATCGGATTCCCCACTTGGCTCTTTCAACATGTCAGTTGAACAAAAAAAAAACAAAAACAAAAAAATCGACTGTTGTTAAAACAGAGTGGTACCAACAGGGCCACCCGCAGCAAAAATTTCAGCTGTGTGTTGTCAGCTTTAGCAGTAAAGCTGGCTATACTCTTATATTTTTTTTCTTTTTCAACTTGTGTGAACAGTTTTGATGGACATGTGTCCCGCGGTGTCTTTTGTATCCCGACAGCGACAGGTGTGAGATTTTATACATACAAAAATATAAATCACTCATTTATAAAGCACAGCCGGGAGCTCTTTGCTCCACTAATAAGAGAGGACTCCATGGGACATCACAGGCTACCAACAGCGTACGATGGACCCTTGTGTCATAGCACAGCAACTCAGACCTTGGATTGATATCCGCTCTCGGTTATAAATAAGCCCAATAAATGTCATTCAGTGAGGGTCTATATCTACTTTTAAGCTATCCTTGGCGTATGCTAACACACATAAAAACTAATTTGAATGGGCTGCCCAATGTACAGAAATGCATGTACTTTTATTAATTTTTGGAAATCCAGCACACCACAGTAATAATTTACTATGCACTGTGCTGCTGCACTGCAATGCAAGTGCACCAGCAAAGTGCATTGGGATGCCTTTAGGAAATGCTGGCACCACAGAGCACCTACAAAAAATACATGCGTGTTTGTGAGCTGCAGAAAAATGTGTGATTTGCACGTGTTCTCATGAAGCCTCAGTAAATCAAATGGGCAAAAGATAAATAGCACAAGCTAAGCACAGCTGATCACAGGTGGAACAATAGCAACAGGTACAGGTTTTCTAAACTGCCCTTTTGACTGTTCCCATGGACAGAGGCCTGCTAGTGGCATTGGGAATGGCCCACAGACATGATATTTGGATCCTGGGACTGTCGCCCCATAAACAAAGGCCTGATGGTGGCATTTTTATAAACTACCAAAACCACAGCAGGACGTGAAGCACGTAAAGGTGAAGAACCTGTCTAGGAATTGTATACAGATAGAACCCGCAGAAAATGCAGCTAGATATTACATATCTACATTGCCATTTCTAATATAGAAGCCAGTCCGATCAAGACTGCAACCTATGTATATACAGTCAGTTACTGCCATGTCTATTCTTCTTAGAATATCTGCCAGGTCTATTAAGGGAATCCACAGATACAAATATACATAATTAAAGCTCTACATTATAAAATTTAACATTATTAAAAAAAAAATGTAACATGGTAAAAAAAGGACACACCGTTTGTATCCATCACCTACATACAGAATAGAGAACCATTTTGTGGCTTACATCAATGTTCTGAGAGGATATGAGAGGACAGATGAGGCTAAAGCCGGCCATACGCCTATATATTATCTGCAGATTTTCTATGGTCAGATGGTTCAGTATCTTCCTAGTTGGCCCCGCTGGCTCTCAAAATACCTGAACAATCTGATTGGATACAGGCATTGTTCATGTATTTTGAGAGCCAGTGGAGCTGACAAGCAAGATACTGAAGCTTAGCCCAGTGGGAGATTTCCCATCCACTCAGTTTAGCATAGATGGAGGAATCTGTTGCACTTTTTCCACCTGACCCTAGAAAACCTGCAGATAATCTATAGGTGTATAGCCAGCTTTATATTGAACACTGCTTCAGCATATGAAATGGTCACCTCCGCCAAAAGGAAATCATGGGAACATGTTTATTGGTAAGTCCACCCAAAAGAGATATTTATAGGCAGATACCAGGAAGGCATTCTCCACTAATGTACCCCCATTTTTGTGAAAGTTCCCCACAAAGCCTTACCTCTTTCTGCTGCATGCTCTTTAAAGTAAACCGCTCACCTTGACATTTAGACTTTAACACAACTTCAGGCAAATACAAAAGACACAAATAATATAGAACGGTAGTAATGCCTAATGAAATGTATCTTAAATGCAGCTAGTACCTGAATTTCAATTATTTTCACCACTCAGACTGAAAGAGAGAGGAACAAGACTTGGAGTCAATTGGAAATATGCTAAAAAAGATCAATGTGACAGAAGGAGAGAGCAGAGTGAACAGAGGGATGATATTCGTCTACAAATCCTCAATCACAGGTCCCCCCCAATGGTTAGCCAACACCCTCTGGAAACTTAGCCTTCTTGTCCTCTGCAGCAATAAAAAAAATCCTGGTATGTCCAATTCTAGGGCACACTGTAGAATACCCTTTGATTTTTACACTGAAATGCATGTCTGGGTGGTTAATCGTGCAACCCAAGCAATGTGACATGGGAGGTAAGGGATGTCCCTTGCCATATGCACATATAGACATTTTGATCTTTGGGAAACCGGCTTTACATGTGGGGGGTTATTTGGGTTTGAATGCCATCGTGACAAGCGAGCTTGAAAAAGATATGCAGGAGCAGAGATCTCTCCATTAAAGCCCCACAGATATAGGGGTTAAATTGGCCAATACACCCCATGAGCCTCTTTCCAAACCAGAAATATCCATTTTGGGTGGACTGACCCTTTAAACTACTCTCAGTTGTATCCAGCTTTGGTTAAGTGCAAAAAACGTTTTAGAAAAAGTCCTTGCATGCCAGTAACACTAGCAGCTGCAATAGTATGCGTTCACAAGTCCAACAAAGTTCTCTCATGCCATCTGTTCATTGTGGGCAAGCTCGTCTTTGAGGAGAGGCTGAGGATGATTGGAGAGGCCGGTATTCAGGGTGGAGTGTGGCGATCCTCTGTCTGGATAGGACGCTGGTTCACTGAAGTCTTTTTCAATGCGTGAACTAGAAAAAGAGAAATGGATGATACAAGGTAAATCATTTACTGCATTCCATCACCAGCCCAGCAACCGACCCTCAGTAAAATTAGCCAAAACAGCCAGCAGGAAATTTGCCAGTCAGTGCTGGCCATACACTGATGACACTAAATGGTCGTGGATGGAGAGAGTCGCCCCCACTGGGCTATTTGTTTCCGAACAGCAACAGGTGTACCACTCTCAGGATACCCAAATAATGTGTGGCCTCAGTGGTCTAACCTCTATACAGCATACAAAGACACTTCACGCCTGGAGGAGATGAGAACACGGAGCTCTGTTCACATCAGCAGGAGGGGGTAACAGGAGAAGCAGAGTCGGCTCCCCGGAGGGAAGTCTCACCCAGGAAGATGGTTCGGCAACATTTTTGTGTGCTTGTGCCTCATGTAAAGCTTGTCTCCGGTCTGTTCTTTATTTCATTCAAGGACAATTTAGAATATCTCATATCTAGCTTTGCACCTGCCTGCACATAACCCTAGACTTGAAGATCACCCACCAGACTAGAATCTCTATAGCTTCACTTCATTATTTCGGTTTGTAGAAGATAAAATGTGCAGAACAGAAGACTAGTAAAAAAACACCCCAGCCTTGATTCATCAAGTTGCCCTTTTACCTAGGGTATGCTAAGAATGTTATACAATACTATTACCCACGGCCATTTTAGCATGCCTTTCATGCATTTTTAGAAGCATTAATGCTCATGTGGTTTAATGAATCCGGGCTACTGTCTGTCTTCTACACCAATAAAGCCTGTAACTCATTCATTCAAAAGTATTTTGAACAGCTGAATGTTGGCATAGTGTGAAATGTAACCTTGCACTTTTAACCCCCTCTGTGCCCACAGTGCAAGGGTTAAATGTTCATTTTATCTAGGGGATAGGAAGAAGCACAATACTCAACTTATTCCTCACTCCTCTGGCAGCCGTTGCTCTTCTCCACTCTCCAATGCTCCTGGGATGTTGGCACCCCTCAGCATCCCCAGGTACAACGCATGCAGGAATGCTGCTTTGTATGTGATGATCTCAGAGAGCGGTGACTGGCCAGCATCAAAGATCAGATCAGTGATACGGAAAGCAGAAAGCGAGGAATATGTTAAGTATTTCACCTTATTCCTAGAAGTAGTAATGTGGATCATCAAAGGAATAAAGAAAAGAATAGTGGATTTCTTACATATACTGTTTTTATACATAATTAAATGCATATTTGGAAACTGATAAATTGCTGGTTCCATGTAGGAGGACCTTCACACCACATTTAGAAGTGGAAATACACACAAAGTATTTTGTGATTCTTAAAACTCCTACCTGCCCTCTATCAGCCTATGTACACTTCCAGATAAGCCATTGCCTTTCACTGTGCCAGGTACGTCCTTGTGCTCCTCGGGCTGTGTGGGGGCCTCACAGTTCTCCAGCAATGTCAATGCTGTCTCTTCTGCTGTGTGGTCTGCCCTTCCTTTAAGGATGCTGCTGCTAGACTCTTTGTCTTCTCTTGGTGACAGCTCCCCTGTACTCCTGACATCCAATATTGTCTCTTTGTCCAGGAAATCATGGCTGGTGATGGCCACAGCAGACGCCCCATGGTTGGTTTTGGCTCCAGTGCTGGTTCCCATAGACTTAGAAAGGACTTTCAGGTTGTGGGAGCTGGATCGGTGATGTTTCTTCTTGTGCTTCTGGTTGGTGTTCTGTTTGATAAAGAATTCACAGGACTCTTGCAGGACTCTTCTGCTCTCTGCAACCGGGCTACAACACAAGAAATCTAAGTTTAGAACAGAGAGAACATATGGCAGAGAGACCAACATCTGTTTATTTCCAATCGGTTGAAGAAGGAACTGGTCTACAACAGTCCCTGTGTTAAAAACATCTGCACTCAAAATAGTGGGGCTAAAAACTCCTGATCTGTACCTTGTTGGGTAATAAGAGGGATGTGGGATTTCCCTTCTCAAAAGGTAAATATTAAAGTAACACTAAACTCAGGGTACTTGAATGCATTTTTAAGGTTTAGCTCATAACTTAACAATACTGTACCTTATTTGTGTATCACTCGGCTGTAGATCCTCAAATCATCTCTGAATTGGTGCCGACACTGTCCTTCCTCCTGGAGGGTGGCTACTTCTGTTCCCCATGGTCCCGGTGTGTGTTGTAAAGTAGTCACCACTCCAAGCTCGCTCTTGTGATAGACTACAATCTCAATTCAAATTAGTAACCTAAACGTGAGATTGTAGTCTATCACAAGAGCGAGCTTGGAGTGGTGACTACTTTACAACACACACCGGGACCATGGGGAACAAAAGTAACCACCCTCCAGAAGGAAGGACAGTGTCAGCACCAATTCAGAGATGCTTTGAGGATCTACAGCCGAGTGATACACAAATAAGATACATTTTTGTTAATAGTTCAGGTAGTTGAATGCATTTTTAAGGTTTAACTTCGGAGTTTAGGGTCACGTTAAAGGCGAACTATGGGTTCAGGGGTTTTCCCCATAGTTCTCCTTAGGGTAACGGGAGGACACAAACTAGCGTCCTCCCGTCACCCTAAGCTCAGTATACCGCGAGCTACAGCTCGCAGTATACTGAGACGCCGCAGCCGGAGCGGATCCCGACATCGATGTCGAGATCCGCCCAGCTGCGTGAGTGACAGCTGGCTCTGCCTATCTAGAGGCAGAGCCAGCTGTACCCTCCCCCGTCCGTTCCGCCAGTCAGCGCTGGCGGATTGGAGCGGGGAGGGGGGATCCATCCCCTCCCCTGTCACGGCAGAGAGCCGTGACAGGATCGAGAAGTGAGCGAACACCGGCATGTGTTCGCTCACCTCCCGATCTACTGAGCCGACCTGTGACAGTCTCATTGTTACAGGTCGGCTAGAACTATGAGGTGAGTGAAAAGCACTCACCTCATAGTTCTCCATTAATATCAGCTAACATTTTACATGCATTTAGAATTTAATGGGTGACATTTTGTTTAGGTTCACAACTAAGATTGTCCAGTAAAAGCAGCTGAAATATAAAAATATAACAGAATAGATATTGGAGAACTCATATCATACCAGTAAAAATTGTTCAATAAAACCTTCCCAGCTTCAGACATTTGTAACTGTCTCAAGGAACAGTCCAAGGAGCAACGTATAAACATTAAATGTAAGAATTCTGCCACCACCTCCGGGAAAAAGAGGATTAGGTTTCAGCAGAACATGGAGAGATGTCAGAGAAAAACAAAATATGTGCTGATTAGACAGAGCGGGTGCACACAACTACATGAGGTTGATCATTCCTGCTCTAGGCAGACATGTCCCCTGCTGACACTGCCTGGAAACCAAAGCACATACCACAGAGGAGAGGAAGTGCTGCACGTCTCCATACAAACACCCATTCAAGGCAGCTGCCTGATGCAGGTCAGCACTAAACCACAGATCTGCCTGTCTTCAGCCAGGACTGCCGAGGTCTGTCTTGAATGTAACCAAAAGCAAACAGGAACAAGAGAGCCTTGTGCCAGCACACCACCTGAGCGTGCGATCATTTCCTCTAACAAACCTACTTCTAGCAATAGCATGCCTGGGATGAGAAGAAGTAAAGTAATGTGAAATCCCACATAAAAAGTTAATGCAAAGTCCCCTGTGAAGGAGATTACAAGACATCTACAGGACACCTGAAGGTTTTTTTAACGGTCCCTAATTTGGGCACTGTTCTCACATGTTGCATGCAGGGAGTGAGGCACTCGGTAAAAAGTAGAAGAGTTCAGGTAATGCAAGACAGTCCTTGCACAATACGGAGCTTCAGGGAAGGACTGGGAACTCCTGCCTAGGGGGGAAAATACAACCAAGTGGCCCTACGTGTTAGATTTCTGCGGGTAAAGAAAGTACATAACGCAAACTATGCCACAGTGTGGCAATTATCTCAGTGGGCATGGTGAAAGGTGGGTGCTCCTAAAAGACATTTGTTATTGTGATCAGCCTTTTCACATCTTCCAGTGTCGGCTTCTTTTACATCTCTTGACATTTGGTCATTTGACATTTCACAGCCGCCAAGGAAGTTGGTGCTGGAGGACTTACTTCTGCCAGAACAATGGCTGAACAAGTTACAGGGAGCTCTATAATGCTCATGTGTCAACAAATATCCCAACTCTCCCTGACGCTCCAGGAGTCTCTAGCTATTAGATAGCGGCTCCCCAGAAACACTCATCCGGAAAGGTCAGTATTGGCCTTTAGTATCGCGGCATTTTCACAAGTACAATTACTCGTGAAAATGCCCTGAATCAGCCCTGATACGATACTAGTATCGGGACATCCCTTTTTGTCATATTTAGGGAAAGTACACAGCCGATGCTTATGGACAGTTACAATAACAGCAAGCGTGTTGGTCTATGCCTCAAAGCATTACATCATATACAAAACAAAAAAAACATTAGGCAGGCCTTGCAGTCCTTGAACATGGGTGACATATCAGGTGAATACTGTATGGTAGCCAAGGAGAAAATGTAATTACACGTGAAAACAAAGAAAGTCACCACCTTGAAGTAGACATCTCAAGACTGGTTGGCAAGACTTGGCAGCTTGTCACCATGACCATGATGGCCTGAGATCCCCAGCACGTGTCTCAAGGAGTGCAGTGTTGGGAAGCACTTGAGTTATTGTGTCAGCTATGACGCCACCTTCATGCAAGCCTAAGCAGCAAAGGTATACACTTTGCAGTACATCACTTTTTCCCAAAATTCCTAGATAGAGAGCCCCGTGACTGCCACAATAGCAGAGACTTAGATGCATAGGCTGGCGGCTGAAAAGCGTTGAGAACTGGCATTCTTGCCAGACACGAGCTAACCTATATCTTATAAAAGAGGCCCATACATGTTACAATCCGATTGTAAATCTTAAAATATTGTACAAAGTACTATGTAGTGCAAGGGCCTGCCTGACCAGAGATAATTGGGGTGGATTGTTTAGTAAGTCCTTCCTACTACATAGGTATTGGCATATATTAGTGCCCCTGTTGATGGGTGTTTTGCTGCGTTTGACATGCGACTGGGGATGCAAAGTCACCAGCAATCAGACTTGTAATTTAGTCTCACAAATGTATTACTTTGAGCACCCACCTATTTGAAGGTTCAGTACCAACAGGAGAGCAGCTTTATATATGGAATGAATTGACATGCGACTGGAGCATATGGCCAAAAAAAAAAAATCACACTGACTTTGATTGAGCAGTACACATGCCAGTTTAGTTCCTGCTTTTGACATGTTCTGCATTGCACTAGTTCAAAGGAGACATCACCACTCCGTCCAACACTCAGGCACAATGGGGTGCAGGCTGGGAGTCGTCCAAGTCCCAACACAGCAACTCAAGAGAAGAAGTCGAAAACTGCAGTCCACCAGCAACAACAACTTTTTAATCCGCAAGTCTAAGAACTGTCAGCACATCAAGACCCCCCACCTAGAAGCCATCTGCTTTAATGCGTTCCTCCCGTTTAGGACTTAATCACGGAGTCTTATGGATTAAAAAGTTGTTGTTGCTCATGGACTGTAATGTGCAGTTTCTTCTTTGAGATGCTTTGCATCGTGCTGTACGTCTTTGGACGCATCATCTCTGCATGATTTGCACTTGAACTGCCAGCAAAGGAGATCAAGTGCAGTCTTCTCTTGTTGAATGCTGTGGTTTTTTTGAACGCAGCTGAATGTGTTTGTACTGAAAATGCAGCATTTGATCAGAACGCCTGTTGACAGGAACCCTTCAAGAAATGTTAGAGGCGGATTGTAATATATGTGGCCTGCTGAGATTGTGGCTTTACTTAGATTACAGAAGCCTTTATGGGTATAACGGAAAGGGGAAAACGTATTTCTGTGGTGTAGTACAGTTGCTTGTATATGAACATCAATAACCTGCAATATCCATAAATGATCACTACGGCTACAAAATTAAAAGATAAAAAAAAGCTTCTTTTTTTTTGCACCATGGGAAATAAAATTATATCTTACTCTTTCTTGTGATTTCGGTTGAAAAGATTGGCCCACTCCGAGCAGGTCTTTTTACTTCCAACCCAGAAGATAGCGGAAATCCCAACAATTAATGTCATCATGTACTTGGTTAGAAACAGCCCCAGGTCTGGTCTGGCCACGTTCTTTAGCTGTAATAAGAAGTTCATTATACAATTTTGGATGACTATAGCAGTTACAGATCTGTCTGTCCATCTACAGTCTCTGACCATCACAAACAATTAAGCTGAACACCAGGCAACCTGCTAAATTCACAGATGAAATAAATACAAGGGAGCTGTTTTACCCCCCAAATAATTTGTAACTCCTGTTCATCCACTTGTGAGATTTATACAGCGCAGCCCTATGTGGCAGGGCGGGAGATCGGACTTTCTCTGCTGTAGTTAAAGGAGAACTATGAGGTGAGTAAATCACTCATCCTCATAGTTCTAGCCGACCTGTGACAATTAAACTGTCACACGTTGGCTCAATAGATCGGGAAGTGAGCGAACACATACCGCCGTTCGCTCACTTCTATATCATCTCCCTGCAGAGAGCCGTGACTGTCACTCACCACTCCCTGGAAAGCCCACCCCCCCTCTGTTCCTCTAGCGCTGACTGGAGGAACGGATGGGGGAGGGGCGTGTACAGCTGGCTTTGCCTCTAGATTCAGAGGCAGAGGATGCAGCTGAGAGGATCTGGACAGCATTGTCGGGATCCGTCCAGGCCGCGGCGGTCTCGGTATACTGAGCTGTGGAAAATACAAAAAAGGTCACATGCACTCCAACATGTAGAAAAGTCAATGTTTGTTGACTTCACAGGTCAGGAGTGCAATGGGTCTGTATGTTTATTTTTATACTGAGCTTTGGGTCATGGGAGGAGGTTAGTATATGGGGTAAAACACTTACCCCATAGTTCTCTTTTAAGCAAAAACGTACAGGTCTTGTCCCACCCCCAGCCTACGACTGGACAGTGAAATGAGAAGCAGCACCCTGATGGGCTCACCTATCCATCACTCTGCTCTCTCCTCCCAGATAAATTAACATTGTCACTGTAAAAGAATTGCAGAATATACTTCTCAAATAGTAATTTCACATCAGAACAAGAAAAGCTCTGCAAATTGTTTGGTCTATAATTTGTCAGCACACCATCAGGAAATAACAGATGACATTTTAACGCAATGTTACTACCATGTAAATCATTCATTAGAATCTATTTATTATACAAACCATTATTTTATTTATTTTTTTACATAGAACTGCAAAAAAAGTATCTAAATCTGTCTTGATATCAACCTCCTGTAATCCCTTGAACCGCAGCTCTCAGACTGGGAGAGGGAGGAACAAAACTACAAAAAGCAAATGTGATCTTTCTGAACAGGATACCAGAAAATAAAGGGTTAGTAGTGACCCTATCGGTGTGCTGCTGCTCCTTCATTGTCCAATCAGCAGCCTAGGGCAGGCCCGTGACAGAGTTGTTTCATGTTTTTAAATGAGGTTTTGACCTCACTATGCAGGGGTGCCTGGGTCATTGGGCCCAAGATGGGATTGAAAATAATTTTGTCAGGTGGAACCGTTCTCATATACACATTGCAACCGTGTATTTAGCAGTTTGCCTTGAGTTGAGCTTTAAATCAAACACAGCACAAACTATTCCATTGGACTAAAAGAGACACATTTTGAAAAACACAGGAAGCAGAAGATCTACTAAGTATGAGCAAAACTGAGATAAAGAAGTGACCTAATATTAACTACAATGGTCATATTCTGACTCCGATCGTTGTGATAGCGAAATATATCCCTTGCTGAGACCTCTATGCCTGGCCTGTATAAGCAGATATACTCACTGCGGACAATCCTCGTCAGATAGCTGAACTCGTCAATACCGATTCATTCAAAAGAGGTGTTTATTCTTCTACATCTGGGTTACAGCAGATGATAGGAACAGCAGATGAATGGTGATAGTATTGTGCGGTCAGAAAATGATGCCTTTCCTACGTACTGTGCAGATTACATGTGTGTCCTGTTACATGTGGCTTTCAACTGTGCCCATGACACAGGAAGTACTGCACACAGGAAACAGGAAGGGGCGTACACTATGGGGAAATACCTCGTCACATGAGGAATAATTACAGAAAGCATGTTTGTTACAACAAAAGGCCACTAGATGGCAGCATAGGATAACACATGGATTTAGCTATGAGAAAATAGTTAGGCAAATCACACTATATAAATTCTAACCTATATAACAATGCTAATCTTAACTGAGGCTATGCATCTCATATTCTATACCCCTGTTGGGGCGGCACAGGTCACGTCAGCACAGGGTGCTTCCATGGCAGTTAGCAAAGCAGAATAGACTTTCTAATAGGATAGTACAGCAATGCCTGGTTACAGAGAAATCAGCAGTGGGCATATAACCCTCCTCCGATTCCATCCGTGTGGTATGTGTGTGCACACATGTTGTAAATACAGAGGGGGATTTATCAAAACTGGAGCAGACAGAACCTGGAGCAGTTACCCATGGTGACCAATTAGCTTCTCTCTTTAATTTGTAAAACTTAACTGACCAAACTGTATGGAGAACCTGATTGGTTCCCTTGGGCAACTGCTCCAGATTCTGTCTGCTCCAGTTTTGATAAATTCCACCCAGAGTTCAAACTTCTGCTGTGTCATTTAGCACTCTGTCCTGCAAAACATGAGAAGAAGTGGTACCCCCCCCCGATATATGCATATGCGATATTTCATTTTCAATTCACTGGACTAAAAGAAATAAAACTATTTTTAAATGTCCTGAACATAAATAAAACTAATACAAAAGATTGGTAGGGAAGCCGGCTTCATGCTCCCTCGTCACCTAATGACGAGGGAACATGGAGCCGGCTTCCTGGCCAATCAGGATGCCCGGGCGCCGTGTCACTACATGGCGCCCAGCTTCCCGATTGGCCAGAAAGCCGGCTCCATGCTTTCTCATCACCTAGTGACGAGAAGCATGGAGACGGCTTCCTTGCTAATCAGGAATCCGGGTGGCGAATCAGTACACGCCGCCTGGCTTTCTTAATAGGACTTCCGGTATCGGTATTAGCAAGTACTGAAAACAAAATATTGGTACTCGTACTCTGTGCATTCCTAGTTAGAACCTTAGAAATTTTACTACAGTCCAGGGCTCCATTACAGAGATTTCTTCTCACTTCCTGTCCTGCTTGTTCGCAATGCTGCAATGTTTTACTAGACAGGAAATGAGGGTAACTTTTTTTTTACACATAACATTTTTTTTAATATATAAAAAGGTAGAGTAGGGGGATGGTAGAACTTGACAGAATTTTTGTTTTCTGTCTGGTCCCCATTGCATGTTCCCCTTCAACTCTAGTGAAACCGTTGTAAACTGCACAGGAAGTGAGGGTAAATTTCTTCAACAGAGCCCCAGACACCAGTGAGAACCCCAGATAGCACAGAGAGAACTCATCACGAGTTCTTATCCTTCCCCACTCTATCCAAAACAGGAAAACAATGTTTTTGCCTTTATATAGACTTTAAAACATGAATGTTTTTACAGTTAAAGTTTTGTTTTGCCTTTAACTATAAATTTACCAATGAAACAAGCTGGCACATGTACATTTGTCTTCTGTGGACTAAATACCTTTTGTACACCATAAATAAAAAAAGTCAACACGTAAAATAAATACATTTGACATTTACCTGATACGGGCATGGAATATGGAATTCATGGCAGTGGTCAGCCACCCACGTCAGTTCCCATGTGGACCTTGACAATTGTTCATAGACATAACACACCAGCAGTATTCCCAGGGGAACGAGATAAGTGCCGCTGAAGACTCCAATACGGATCATGAACTTTTTCAGTTTCTTTTGGTTCCTTTCATCATGTTGGATAACTTGACGGACGTTATTTAAAGATATAATCCCAGCCAGGAGTAGGGAAAGTCCAATGAAAACACTGAAGCATAGAGGTAACAGGACAAAATATGTGGACACATTTTGGTCATAAAGTCCAACAAAACAGACCCCACTTATATTGTCTCCTTCTACTTTGTTCATGGCTAGAAGAATGACTGTAAGTACTCCGGGGATACCCCAAGCCACGGTATGAAACCACATAGACTTCTGCTCTATGGCTTCACAGCTCCACTTCTGACCTGCGGCCAAGTACCATGTGATGGTGAGCATGACCCACCATATGGTCCCAGCCATGGTGCAGAAATAAAGGAGCATGAAGATGACAGTGCAAGCTTTGTTCTGGGAACCAAGAACCACAGTGTCTGAAAGGTTTTCACTTGCCTCGTGGCAGGAGACAGAGTTCCCCATGAGGAACCCGATAAAATAAATGAGTGAAACAATGCTGTAACAGACAGAATAAAAAATGATCGGCCTCTCGGGATACCGGAACCTTTTCACGTCAATCAAGAAGGTGAGGAAAGTGAAGAGTGTGGCGCAGAGGCAAATGATAGAAATGATGCCAATAAAGTTTTTGGCAAAATCCAAGTCTTCTTTTTTGAAGTACATGTTGGGGCAAGGTGGCGAACAGTGATCCACTCCCAAAAACTTATATCCTGCCACTTGGGAGGTTTTTAGGTGGCGAGGGCACCAAAATCCATAATCTCTTTTAACAGTGGCTATAGGTTTGTGCGTGCCTTGCGAGTTCTCCTTTTCAGAGGTCTTTGATGCTAAGCAGTCTTCAAGCCTGATGAATGGAAACAATAGATTCATCTTTACATATTCAGTTTTAAGAGCAATTCAAGTATACATTCATACACAATACAAGCTATCACTGGACAACACAAACAGGATACAAAAAAATCGTAACATCAAAAGCAATCCATTAAAGGTTTTCCTTAATAGGAAATAAGCTGTACTTGGCTTGGGGGCTCTAAATCTATCCAACCATTTCATTTTGCAATGGAGACTAGGCCGCATGACCACATCCAACATCATAACTAGCTGGCATCCATGTTGAGCCACCAGAGGGAACCTATTATTTTCACTATTAAAATGTATGTATACCCAAAAACGTCTTCATATGTTTGGATAGAAAGTGGGATCATTATAGCTTGTTACTCTGTGTCCCTGCAATAGTTAGCAGGAAAACCAGAGAGGTTAAAATGAAAAGCAATGGAAAATTCTAAATTCTACATTTTTGAGTTGTTACAGGATCAATAGGTAAGGGAAATCTCCTTGACATTCCCTAATCTATCCTAAACTAGAAAAAAAAAAATGCTTAAAGTTAAAAAAGAACTTGTGCCGATTTCAGTCTAGGGTCTAAAATAAAGATATACTCAACCAATCCTTGGTCTTGTGGCAGTGACCACTTATATCTCTTTCCCTCCGCTCCAGCTGTGGAATGTCCCTCAGCATCCTCACATCACATTCAATGCAAGTGAATAAACAGGAAGATGCCATGGGTCATTAGACCACTGGAGCCCCGGGGAGAAGAGGCTGTGGGGGACCAGTCCAGCAGCCAAGTATGACTATGACAGAGGATCGAGCGAGTATATCTTTTTAAAACATTTTTTAGACCCTAGACCAAAACAAGCAACTAATCCTTGCAGTGCGGGGGGTAGCCCTGCTACACGGGTTAATTTTTTTTTTTCACAAACCCAAAGTTCTATTTTAAATCACACAGGTTCCAAGTAGTATCAGCAGCTATCAGATATAGGGTGTGGACACCCTATATCTGAGATATAGGGAGGTAAAAGGTGCCTGCAAATACCAGCAGCCTGCTGTCCCTGCCACAATGGGCAAATATTTGGCAATTCTGAATAGGCAACAATCCAGCATTTCCTGCTAGTGTCAAAGCGAGTCAGTCCCATCCTGCCTTCCTTACATTTCAGTTAGCCAGTGAGGTAGCCCATTAGGACAATGTGTCAACAGAAAGGCAAGGAGCAAGCTTCTACACTATGAGGAGCGCTGGTGCTTTGCCTGATCAGATTAGCTGGAGATTTAACTGTAGTGGCGGAGGTGCCTGCATTGCATCTGCTTTTTTTATTAATAAAAAACCTTTTTGACGGTTCCTACAAAAGGACCTTTATGGTCCAAATTGTTTGTTTCTCCTTTTTATATTAATAAAGTCACCAAACTTAGCCTCCCTAACTGCTCCTCCTTGTACATTGAGCTGCCTAATACATGCTCTTGTTCAGCAACCCCGTCTCCAGTTTTTAATAATAAACATCAGTCCTTTATGCATGCAGTCATCATCAACCCAGATAGATTCAGCACAATACCCAAACACCACGAATCTTCTGAACCAATGGCCCGTTCACTCGAAATATCACGTTCAAAGAAACATCCAATTTTTAATTGATCGTTTTTAATGAAACCTTTAATGCTGCTTGTAAGGAACCGCTTATGGTTTTGATGCCCATGTTTTGTTTTTATAGTAATAGAGCCATTAATCTTCATTCCCCAACTGCTCCTTCATGATCTCCCGAACTGTTTAATCTGTCCAGCTCATTTTAAGCGCATACTGAACTCCTAAATACATGCCTGGGTTGAATAGCTCCGAACCGCAGCTTTGCAGCTTATTGCCCCTAGGCTCCGCCCAGCTGTCACATTTAAACCGGTGGATTGCCGCCACCGCAATACCATTCTTTCCGAGCTTGAAAAAGAGGTGCTTCCTCGAAACGCATTGCTCCCGATATCCTCCATCCCACGACTGTCACTGACTTAACCACCCGTCGGCTTCCTTCCACAGCCGTTATCACGGCTCGGGCACATTGCTTCATCTCGGTCCAAACACAGACCGAGTTTCGACATCCACAGCTGCAGCCACAGCAGCTCAGCCAGACGCTACACCGCCCAGTCTCCTTCACACCGCCCGGATCTCCCACTCAAGCAGTGGGGACACGGACGAAGTCCTTGTTCTGCCATCCGTCCCCTCGTCTACCATTGTCCTCTCTCTCCCTATGGACGAATAGCCTCGGGCAGCAAACCAGCCTGTATTGAGCGTACATCTTGGGCATCCCCATCCTCCCCACAGGCCGTTCCTTATCTGGTCACCGGACCCACATAAGTAAGTGCAAAATCTTTTTCTGCAATGTTCTGCCCAGTTAGCTTTGAATTTGCTTCGCGCCATTTTGTTTGTTTTTTGGTTATTGCATCTGCTTTAGCAGCTTTACAGTTGGTAACTATAGATTCACTTGAACGGAAGATGGGTCTATATTGTTATGTAACTATAAGCTGATTTGTCAAGATTTTTTAAAATATATTTCAGGAAAGCAATGATACTAGTATCAGTATCGGTGCTGATACTGAATATTGGGGAGGGTGGGAAGTACTTGTACTCTCCCAAATGCTCCCAATGCCTATCCCGATACTGGAGCTTCTGGAAGTCAGGCAGCGAGTCATTACACGCTGCCCGACTTCCCCATTGGCCGGGAGGCCGCTCCATGCATCCTAATCACCCGGTGACTCACCACCTGGCTTCCTTAATGGGACTTCCAGTACTGGTATTGGTGAGGTCTGGGAAAAAAACATATACATATAGAGATATACATACATACATATATATATCTATATATCCATATATCTATCTATCTATCTATCTATCTAATATATATAAATATATATATATATATATGGTCTGGCTCTGCTGCATATTTATTTGGGATCATACATTTTTTTTTGGTTGCAACTTTCATGCAATATCAGTAACAAGTCTGGCTGGTTCGGTCTTTTGTGTAATCAAAATAAAAGAAGTTTGCACACAGGAAGATTTGCATACAAGTAAAACTGAACCCACCGATCACATTCCAATTCTTCAGGCCAGGTAATGTCAAAAGTATCAATAAGAGGCTTGCAGTTGGAGTGGACGGTCTTGCACATCTCCTTGCAGGGCAGCACAATGTTTTTGGGTTCGGTACAGGCTGGAAAGAAGGCCATACACATAAAATCCTGGACTTCCGAGGAACACCGAAGATTCAGCAGAGGGAAAAAGGGCTACAGAGACAAAAAAATGTACAAAACATTATTTCACTTTTCTAAAAAGACATTTCCAGATTCAGTCATTGATGAGAAGTACCATTTTCCTTGATTTTAAACATATGGTCACCACAAGCCTATGAACATCTGTGAGACATTTGAAGCTAAAGCCATTTTAGTACATATCATTTATTTTAGCATTTCACTCTTTGATGCAAACACCAATAAAAATCAAAAAGAAATGCACAAGCTTTCATGAAACTGGAGTACAGTCAGCTGGTGAATGCACAGGTACATCTTCTATACTTAGAGCAGTCACAATACAATAGCTCAATCGTAGGAAGGTCAGATATTTCGGATGATGGAACTAAACTTGAAAATGATAAACACACTAAATATACATAACCTAACCTCTTAATAACATTCCATATAGGCAATCTGTTATTTACATTACATCTGAATGTTAACTGCAATTAGTGTGCTTCAAGAATGCAGCTGGGTGAAGAACAGAACAAGTCTTCATTCTACAAGAAGAGAACCTTATTTCACACACCATCACTCCATTTACAGTTTAGAACTTGTGGAGCAGCCAACTCTGGCACTTTGGTGGGCCGTCCAGTAGTTGATGGCACAATAAGTTAGGTACAAAATTCAAGCAAACACAGACAGCTTGGTAAAACTTGATCTGGACTCAAACCATTTTCAATGTACTTTTAGTGTAATTATTGGCACTAGTACAATTTTTTGCAATCATAATTTTTGTCAAGATAATTATTGGGTTAAGGTTTTATGGGTTTAGAAAACACATCATAAAAAGTGTATAGTCAAAACTTTAAAAAGGAGGTTTTGCTGCTATTCCGAGATCCAAAATATACTAAAGTCCAAAAGCGTCTTAAATAGACTTGTCGTTATTGAGTAGCAACTATATCCCTATGAGTAAGAGATTTTTTGGAACTACTTCCAACCATATGCCACTGAAACTGTTATTACTACACATAAAAGAATTTGAATGATCACTCCACAACTCCTCATAGGGACAAAAGTTCAAATTTTCCATCTGGTGTAGACACTTTCCCCTTTATATGGCAACAGTCCTCCCAGCCACATAAGAGTCTTTCTAGTATACCTTCCAAGCATATACTGCTACAGTTCTCCCATCATATGGGGGAAAGATGTTTGACTTATACCATCAACTAGTAGCATTCATATTAATATCACAGAACTTGGTTATGAACCATCTGGATCCTCCTTAGCTTGTATAAAAAAAACTTTTTAAACTTCCAGCCGCGGACGCTCGCAAGGGACGGAACCCAGAAGACAGCAGCGGCCGGATGACAGAGCGGGGATCGCGGACAAGGTAAGACCTATGCTGTATTCCCGAGTGTGGCTTGGGGTTACCGCTTTGTTAACCCCGAGCCACACTCGGGAATAACAATGGATACGCGCTGCAATTGGCCGCTACGCGCGGAAAAGAAGCTTCTGTACTTCTTCGCGCGTAGGGCGTTTTCAGGTGGGAACCATGCCCATAGGGATTCATGGGATTTCACTTGCTGAGCGTTTTTCAGCACTTCAATCAGCGCTGAAAAACGCCCAGGTGTGAACCCAGCCTTACTGATCTCAGGTCAGTCTAATCTGGCATCCATATGGTAAATGTTATGGGAAGAGAAATAAATGGATCCCGAAAACCCAGTCTTCAAGGCCTGAGCCACGTGTTCAAGTTTCATCCAATAAGGGACTTAAGCACTGCAGCTGTGAGAATACTTCATGAAGACTGTGCTGTGTAACTTCTTTCAGCTTTCTGTTTCACGACCAACAATTAAATGGTCTAGGCATTTTGAAACTGAATGGTAGCAGAGAGAAAGAAAAACTTTCTTGCATGCACATTTTTATTTATACATTGGGTTTTATAGACACAGCAAAGAGTCTGCAGTGGGTGTGTTTTGGACAGGCAGGGGTTCCCAGCTCAAAAGACAAAAAAGGAGGGGGCTGGCGCACTGCAGCAATGCCTGGATGAAAAACAAATACTGAGCAGGTATGTATCTCTAGGTGCAATATTTACTTTGCCTGACGTGCCCTTTAAAATGTTTCTTTCAAAAGAACCATTTTTTTTTCAACTGGACATGCTGCACTTTATTTTATTTAAGATGTTACGCTGGTTATCCAACCAGCTTTCTCAATTCAGAATGACTTTTATAAAAATTCTCTGGGAATAAATATGGGGACTGTTGCTCCAATCAACATATTCTGTTGATTTTGATTGGAGCAACAGTCACCATATTTATTCCCAGAGAATTGAACAAATACAGTAAGTCCAGTTTCCTTGATTTATTGTTTTACAGATATACCATGACCTGGATGAATGAGAACCGCCACAGACACAAAGAACCAGTGCCAAAATCAGACCATACAGTACTACAATTGTGATCAACATGCTATTAACGATGATGCAACTTAACAGGCAATCTGAGCTAGGTCGCCAATACTACTTAAAAATTACAGCTGTCGCCTAACTTTCAAGGTTTTCTCTAGTTGTTGTTAATGGAGCTGGGTCCTTAAAAAAAAAAAAATCCTGCTGGCTCCTGTATTAGACATACTGGCTCCACCCTTTGTCCACCCCTGGGTTACTATAATCAACAGCTCCATTTATACCTCTATTTTCATTAATATACCTGGAAGTAGTGTCCCTAGCCCTTCTACATTGCATGCTTGTATTTATCTATGAAAGTAATTTAATGAATAGAACCATAGTTATCAAAAATAAAAAAACATTGACAGGGTTCATAAGGAGTCAAAACACCGATGCTCAAACTTCTTTCTGTGCATTGAAATCGAAGAAAGGTGAGGGGGAGCTCAGAGGGCCACCGAGATTGACAAAACCGTCTTTATACGAGCTGGAAACTGATCCAAGTGGCTGAACACACAAGTCTTTGATTCGGACGCCATCCTGCGCACTTACTATGACTTCACTGCGGTGATGAAAGGCCATTAAAAACACGCTTTAAAGAAAGGAGGAGAAGCAGAAAGAATACATACTAATGATAATAAACAGCACAAATGAGGATCCGTGTAATGAACTTAAAAGAAGGCACCATGATGTATAGGAGATGGATCTACACACATCTTGACTGTCACCGATGTTGTGATCAGAATATACATGGCCAATATTGCATGCACTACTTTTTGTTTTGTTAAATCGCACTGCATGGCATTGTATTGCATTGCTGCCCATTGTGAACGGCAACATACACATACTTCCCACACGTGTGGTATGGTGTGTTAATCACACGGAATTGTGCAATTAACACATCTCACCAGTGTTAAAAAAAAAAAAGCGATTTGAATCAAACAGATAAAAGTTTGCCAAGTGCAAAAAATACCTGCTGACCCTAAAAGAAATCCAGTAAGCTTGCAACTTCCTGCGCTGTCAAGGCACCTACTGACATCAGATTAGATACAAGCATGATCAGACACCTAAAGATCTTTTGTACCAATAACTTTCTCTAGGCATGCATGATTACTTTTGCTGACCAGGCATTTTATGCCCATGGAGGATCGATGGGGAGCACTTTATTAAAACCAGAGATTGACTTGTTTGGACTCGTCTATGTGATGTCACGGCCGGCTCCGCCCAGTTTTCATTTAATGACAGCCCAGCATCCCCAGGTCATTTGAGGACACTGGGCGGCTGTCACTGAAAGACAACTGGGCCAGCTGTGATGTCAAGGCTGGCTCCACCCAGTTGTCGCCATTTAATGACAGCCCAGTGTCCTCAAATAACCCGAGGACGCTGGGCTGTCATTGAATGACAACAACTGGGTGGAGCTAGCCGTGAAGGGCTCCGGCAGCCGAAGGATCGGTCGAAGCTACGGCTAGATCCTTCAGCTCCTTTGTGAATAACCCTCTAAGCTTTTATTGGAGGCTTCCTTCTGAGGTATTTTGCTTTGTGAAAGTCTCCCTTAAATACAATGGCAGTGCAGAGCTACAGACATTTCTTTGGAACTCCTTGGCACGTATGTACATATCACCACACCCGTGAATTCAAAACATGGTGCATGAAAGATCACATTGATCATTGGAAGGAGAGACAATACTGAGGTCTTCATGGCAGAAGAGTGACTGCTCTGACCTCACCATTCACACAATGTTTGTCATGTGGGGAGTGTTACCCATTTGGATAAGCCATGATGGAGTGCAAACAAGAGTGTTACCATCACACGCAGGCCCATGTAAACATTTCATTGGCCATATGAACAAAAGATCTCTGGGGATTCCATAAGGAAACTATTTAAACACAAAAAGATAAAAAGTCGAATCATTCTAAAAAGTGACATTAAAGGCTGTTTTAGGTTCCAGGTCTCTCTCAAAACAAGGAATGGTTCTAAATAGAAACTGGTGTAAACTGAAACCCAGTAAATAAATGTACGTCAGTGGAAAGTGAGGAAGTTCCAAGTCTCTCTCATTGACATAAATAACATAATACAGGTACATTTGTGGCAGCTTTAAATATAATGTTCATGTATTGTATTACTTAAAATGTCAATTTTGAGAAAGATCTGGAACACAACTCCCTCGCTTACATCGTATACTGGGTTTCAATTTACACTGGTTTCTATTTACAACCATTCCTTCAGGAACCTAACCCCAGCGAAAAATTGAGGGCTACCTGTACTTGTCTGTAAACAAAAGGATACAGGAGAAAAGATAAAAGTGCCTTCATTTGGTCTCCCAATGGTTGCTCCAACCTCATACCAATATAGTCGAGCACTTGGGTAATGAACATAAATGTAACATAATTGTAATTAAATCGGTTGGATTTAATTGTAAATGTTGTCAAGACTATATATATTTTTTGTTACAAAACCAGTGCACAGACTACCTCAGTATTTACTTGTGCTGATGCCAGCAGCTTTCATTATAATACGGTGTATATGCAATGGGGTGAAGAGGTCGCCTAGCTAGACTGACCATTATGAGAAGATCCCACCTCAACCGTCTCCAGGTTGGTTACTAAAGAAATG